AAGACAAAGAACAAACCTTGATCCCAAAGAATAACAGTTTGCATGAAAGAAAGATCATGCAGCTTGACACGAATGAAGCCCGGCAATGGAGCAGGTGCTGCCATCATAGATCTTTGAAACCAGAATCTCTGCAAAAGTGAATTAGTACTGGACCTGATACATTCAGACAGCGTACACCCTAAAATATTACATAACTGAGGCAGGTAAAGAATGAAGGACCCAAGTGGAGACAATTCAGTGGTTGACAGGTGGTCTTTTCCACCTTGGAATTCTGTCCACCATAAACGGGATTAAAGATGAGGGGCAGCCCCGGCAGAGTCCAGTCTGTACCAGGAGCAAGCTCAGCTTTGTGCTTTGGTCATACAAGGACCAGATAGCCCTTAGAATTAACCCAACAACTGATTTAACCTTTTTTGTTGTTATACCTGGATGACTGAGCCTGCAAACCTATTTTCTGAACCATTTAGGCCTTGGTGTCCTCAAGCTGTTTCTGTGAGTAGCAAGTCGGCCATCTGGTCTAAAACATTTGATGATGATTGATTGTTTTGGACGGACTGGTCCTTCTGCATGTGTTAAAAGCCTGCTTCTGAGATTCCAACAGGAAGTTGGCTTGAAATACAGCAATGAAGGCTACTTATGGGCCAGATCTGGCTGGCAGACTGACGAAGTCTTCCAGATGGAAGACAAAACATTTCTCCCTTAAAGAAACTGGTCCAGATGAAATGATGTAACACTTTTTGTTGTTATCTACGTGGATGATTGAGCCTACAAACCTTGTTTCGTGCTCCCATAGGCACCTTCGCAAAATGCCTCAGGAAACACGGTTGTAAGTATTCAGGTCCAAAAAAAGAACAAATCTAGACTGGAGTCAAACTCACACAACCCATTTAGCAGCAAAGTGGGTTTTGTGAGGGTTATGAGATTTTTAGCAGGGCTAAAGAGGGCAGGGCATGAAACTAAACAGTCATATAAACATGATTTTTAGATCCTGGGTTTTTGTTGTTGTTTTTTGTAGGCGATTGTGTAAATTGAAGCCCATACTGTCCAAAAAATAAACTTGAAACAGTAATATGTGCTTTCATAACATCCATGCTTGATTACTGCAATGCACTTCTTTTTGGAATCAGTCAGACTTCCATTCCATTTTTACAACTGGTTCAAAGCCCGATCTTTAACTGGTACAGGCAAAAGAGAGCACATTCCACCAGTTCTGGCCTCCCTTCACTGGCTCCAGTTTCACTTTAGAATTAATTTTAAAATCCTTCTGTATGTTTTTAAATCTCTGAACAGTTCTGCCCCCTCTTAGCTCACTGATCTGCTGCAGCCATATGTCCCACAGTGCTCCCTGAGGTCAGAAGATCAGATGATTTTATTGGTTCCAGGAACTCGTTTTAAGCTCAGAAGTGACGGGACTTTCTCTGTTGCAGGATCAAAAACGAGTTACCACTGCAGGTCAGACAGGCTCCCTCTCTCGTGGTTTTTAACTCAACTTTATTTTCTGGCTTTTGACACTGTGTGAGTTGATTTTAACTTGTCTGTGTTCTACAATGTAAGACATTTAGTTCTTATCTTTACCTTTGTGTATCTATGTATTTTATCCGGTGTTCTTTGCTTGTTTCTTTTTGCTGCACAGCACTTTGGTTAGCCTTGTTGCTGTTTTTAAGTGCTTTATAGATAAACTGGTATGGCGAATATCTGCTACATTGTTCCACGACCCAGAAGCTATGATTAATAGAACTCAAAAGTTTACATTTTGATATGTTTCACCTAAAAGTGCTGTTAATGTTGTTTTCATTATTATGTATGAAAATTAAATGAGACAGCTCGGAACCCCAAAACCTCATTGACCAAGACAGAACCTGGCCATAATATTAATACAAAATGTGTTATTCTGTCTGCAGCATGCTTTCATTTTCCTTGTCGCCTCTGTTAGTTAAAGCTTGTTGGATCTCATGTTCTGGCACTGCTAAATTAGCTGGATAGCGCCTACAAGAAGTGCTGGAACTCAAACTGTTACGAGCATTTTGTCCAGGGACACAAATGGTTGGATTTAGAACAGAACCTCTTTTTGGGTTTATTATAGGCAATGTAAACTTTAATGCTTATTATGATTTTAGTATTTTCCTCATTGTGTGATAGAGCATGAATGTATAATTTGTTTCAGCATGACATTTTTCTTTTGTAAGAAATAGATATTAAAAAAAAAATAGTCTCTTTGCTCCAGAGGGACATGACTGGACTGCACAGACCCGCAGCCTCCCCCGTTCCAACACTAATATGAATGTAAAAGGGGACACTCTATGCCTGACCCCACCTCACTAAGGCTCCTGTGGCAAACAGGAGCGAATCCTTTCAGCCAAGCTATAAAAGCAGCAAATGAAACTCTGGTTTCCAAATGAAACCCTGCAATCACTGACTGACTGCAGCTCTTTCACCATGAATCTCCTCATTTCTAAACTGTCACATTAAATGCAAATAAACATGTTTTCACTGTAAACATTATTTGTATGCACTGTATATTTGAAGGGCATCGAAAAAGTGTCCGAAACATTTCAGGAAAAAACAATTTCATCTAGGTTAGAAATTCTTAAAACCACGTTTAGTGTGTTGGAGACAAAGCATCAAATATGAGCTATAAACACCAACAAAACAGAAACACCAACACAGAAACAGCTACTTCATTGTTTAATATCTGGTGCTTGTTTTTCAAGAATGAGAAAATGATGGCAACTGTTTTTGTCAAAACTTTGAGCATCTGTTTAAACATGGGAACCTTCAAAAAAACCAAGGTCCATCCATCCATCTTTTTCCATTTATCCGGGGTAGCAGCCTAAGTAGGGAGGCCCAGACATCCCTCTCCCCAGCCACTTGGGCCAGCTCCTCCGGGAAAATCCCAAGGTATTCTCAGGTCAGCCAAGAATCATGGTCCCTCCAGCGTGTCCTGGGTCTTCCTCTGGGTTTCCTCCCAATGGGTCATGTCTGGAACACCTCACCATGGAGGCGTCCAGGAGGTATCCTAACCAGATGCCCGAGCCACCTCAACTGGCTCCTCTCGATGTGGAGAAGCAGCGGCTCTACTCAGAGATGGGGTGAGAAGCTCTGTCATCCAAGAAGGACTCAAAGGGAGAGCTCAGACACCCTGCGGAGAAAACTAATTTCGGCCGCTTGTATCAGAGATCTTGTTCTTTTGGTCCCAATCCAAAGCTCATGAAACATAGATGAGGGTAGGAACGTAGATCGACTGGTAAATTGAGAGCTTTGCCTTTTGACTCAGCTCTCTCTTCACCACGACAGACTGGTACAGCGACTGCTTCACTGCAGATGCCACACCTATCCACCTATCGATTACTCGCTCCATTTTTCCCTCATTCGTGAACAAGACCCTGAGATACTTCAACTCCTCCACTTGGGGCAGGACCTCCTCCCTGACCCGGAGAAAGCACTCTACCCTTTAAAAAAAAACAAGGTCAAATAGAAAATGTACGGCCTTTAATGTTTCAAAATGTATGTAGTTTACATATAACCTTTCAGTATATAAAAATTACAAAGTATTTTACATCAAAATAACAGGAAAGGGACAATAAACAACAAGAAAAAAATCAATGTGAAATGGAAAAGAAGCTATAATGTAAGCAGGTAGAAAGTCAATAAAAACAGAATACTACCAAAATGTCAGTCTAAAATAAAGATTTCAGCCGTTTCTTGGATAAATCCATTGATTCTTCAGCATGTTGATAAAAGGCAAAGACTTTCATAGAATCTGAGCAATAACTACAAAGAATCTGTCAACCTTGATTTAGAGACAAAACTACTCACGGTCAGGCAACCTCCTGGTAACATAAAGCTGTAAAAGATTAAAAATATACAAACGTGCATCAACATGCAGAGACTTAACTGTTCAGAGCAGAACCAGAGTTGAGAGATCAGTGATGATGGAGCTTGGAGAACCTGCTTAAAAGCTGAGCTACATTTTGATAGACATCGGTGGAAACGTTATGGAGGTAAGTAAGATAAGATAAACTAAAATTAGAGAAGTCAGTGTGGGGCAGTGGGATTAAATAAAAGCTTGAACAAGCATCCTAATCTAAACATTGGAAATGACTTTGTAGCTCTTAGCTTCTTCACAGGGAAATCCAAAAATAGACTAAACTTTTGATATGAGTCAAAAGACAGATTGCCATCAAAAGTCAGCCCTCATTTTTCATGGTGGGTTCGATGAATTAAATTTGTTTACCCTCAACAGCCGTTCCAACAGTGCACAAGGACTTTACTGAATGCATGATGTTCTGATTTTATAATAAAACAAGCTTAATTTGTGTGTGCTGTGAAACAGAGAAGACTAATATTGCAAAGATGCCCTCAGTAGAAAATCAAAACACAGAAGAATTACTGAATATTTATCATCAATAGTAAAAATAAGTAACAAAATCAAAGGTGTTTGGGAATCGGATCAATTGTCTTATAGTAGATACCATTATTTAAAAAAAAGTTTAAAAATTGTGTTAGTTCACGATCCTTTAAACTCTGTACTGGAAAAAAAAAAGGCAGCTAGTCTGAAATTAAAAGGCAAATGAAAGGTGAGAGTATGCTTTTATTTTTGCCAGACATAAACAGATGTTTGTCACAGCACTTCTATGATTGAAGCATTTGATTTACAAGACAGAAAAGGAAGGAGAAAAGATGAAGGGCTGAATGTATACAAAATATGTAGATTTTATTTCAGAAAATGTAACCTAGTTTTTCATAGACATTTGTCTTTACATATTACTAAGGTAAAATATAACTAATTACATAACTGAGATTTAAAATCAACGACTACTCAAAGCTAAAATACTAAATATGTAAATTTTTCACTAGTTGTATTATTATTTTAAATAACATTGATTATAACCCATCAAACTGTCATTCTTCTACACTAACACTTTCACCAAACAGAGAAAAAGCAAAGAGCCTGACTCAGTGATCACACTAAAACAGGAAATTAAACACAAACGTGGGGTTCACTTTTCAGATTTGTGATAAATGTTGACATCAGCTGAGGAGGCGATGAGTAAATCTCTGCTGTTATTGAGAGCCAAGCCACTGCTGCCACTCACATCCAGCCCCGTGGAGTCCTTTTTGCTTTTATTGTTGACGCCAAATAAGTTGCAGATTTTGTTCAGCAGGAGGTCGACAATCTCATCCTCTTCTGAAGGCTGGGTGAAAAAATAAAAAATCACTGTTAGATAAACATGAAAAAACTGGAGCTCTTGACACTATGAAAGCTCAAAATATCTAAAGAGCTCTTTATACTATTAACTTTAATTTGCAGTAATTGCTTTCCCTTTTATGCAATTTGAAATTACTATCACTGGAAATTATGAGTGATGTTCAAATATTGCACTTTGTAAGGGAAAGGTTTGACTTTTATCTCATGACTTTTCACAATTAAAAAACATCTTCATGCTGGGAATCAAGACCGGCGGTTTTAAATCCTGCAGACTGACACATTTGGTTTTAATAATCCACACAAAGATTTGACAAACCTCAGAGAGGAGCAGAGATGAAAGACACATTCTGTGATTGCTGAAATTATTGCTTAACACTGCTCATTTGAATTCAAGAGAAAATGTGAGTGGATGGAACTCCCTGCTGCTCTGAAGGCTATCCTGAGTGTGACCCCTGTGCAAATGGCTTTGATTCTGCTTGTTGTCATTCTGCTTTGTTTCCACACCAAGGTTTGAAACACTGTGTACTCCCAGTGGGAGACAAGTGGTGTTTGGAAGCAACAAGAATTAAACTTTACCAAAAAGAGGCTTAAATGTAATATTACCCAGCTAGCCAACCATCTTACAATATGTGGCTTTGGATGTATATTTGTGGTTTGGTTGTGGGGTCAAAGCTCCCTGGCTCTTCCTGTAGGAGCCCAAGGCATACCAAGGCTAGATAGAATGATCCCTCCAGCAGGTTTGGGTCCTCACTGGTTTTGCCTCTCAGTGGGATGTGCCCAGAAAATTTCCAGCAGCAGGCACCCAGTAAGCATCCTAATCAGATGACTGAACCACGTCAGTTGACTCCTTTTAATATGAAAGAGCAATTTTATCCAAACATCTCCCAGATAATGGCACTGCTCCCCTTCTGTCTGAGGCTGAGCCCAGCCCCCACTGTGCAGGAGGCTCATTTGAAAGGCTTGTATCCAGAATGTTGTTCTTTTGGACACATTTCACAACTCATGGCCTTAGATGAGGGTTGGAACAGAGATTGACCAGCAAATTAAGAGCTTTCTTCACCACAACATACTGGGCTCTCTGGAAACTTGAATTCCTCCACTTGAGGTAGAGCTTCACCCCTATTAAAATAATAATAATATTTGTCTTTTCTGGTTCAGAACCATATCCTCAGACTGAAGACTGGTTTACTGTCCATCCAGATTTTTCTACTCGTACCCCCTGCTGAGACCTCATCTTGTGCATTGCCCCTAATCAGAACATGTTTCCTACAGTGTATGTGACAAGCGTTGTATGATTGGTCGTAGGTGTTTTTGTTTATAATAAGAGGTTACAAAGTCATCATTACAACTGCTCTAGCAAAATTGGTAAAGAAAGTAAAACTTATTGTCAAAAGAACTTCTAAAAGAAGATCAGACAATTTTTGTGCATGCAGGGGACAACATGGTGAACCGGTGGCTCTCCATGGTTGTGCTGACTAAGTGAGAGAGAGAGTACCAGTCCCCAGAAGCTGTAAAGGTGATGTGTGAGAGAGAGTACATCTGGACTGGGCAGCATAGGGACACGTTCTCACAATTTTCCCAATATCGTAAGTATTGACAGTGTCTTTGTGAAAATTTTACAAAATGGGATGACTTATCAGCTGTTTATCTTTGAGAATGAATTAACCATGTCAAAAGGACCTTCTAAAATCACATCAGCAAATTCCAATGTCTAAAAGTCTTGTGATGCATTACCAGAACTTTAGAGGAGCTGACTCTCATACTGGACACTTCACACTCAGCTGTGAATGGCCCAGAGCATTCTGAGGGATATGGCCACAAAAGAGGCCACAAAAACCACATAATTTACGAAAAGCATACACGAGACCCTGAGATTTCCAAACCTGTTCCCACAATCTCTATGAAATGCTGTCCACTGATACTGCACAGAGGAATGAAGACAAGGGGAAGCACTAGCAAAGTCCAACTCTGATGAAGGGCAGACTTGGCTTTGTGCTGAGAATACAGACACAGGCAGAGGTCTTCAAGGTATTTAAGAAGTGCCCTGGCAGCAGCTCTGGGGTGGACAAGATTATCCATGAAATGCTAAAGGCTGGAGAATCTAATCCTGGACGGCCATTATCCTGCATGTTTTAGATATTTCTCAGCTCTTCAGCATGTCTTCAAATTCCACAGAAGCCTGTTAATCACTCATTCATTTAAGATCAGGTGCGTCAAAACAGAGAGCAATCTAAAACTGTGGGGTTTCTGTCTTCTTTGTATTTGGCTGCTCTCCTGTGTTTCTCTTTCGTTAGTGTCCCTATTTATTCAGTGTCCTTGTGCCCTGTCATTTGTCTGTGGATTGTCCATTATGGCTTTCATTTCCTGTCTCCTGCCGTGCTTCATGTACTCCTTAAAATTCCTTGTTGCCTTCCTGCATGTGGGTTCAACACATTAGATAGGCCGTGATAAAAGCATGCACGCTAATTAAATTAAATGCAGTTAGAGACCCTCCAGGATCAGGATTAGGGACCACTGCTTAAAGTTTTTGATGCCTTAATATTGCAGCTTGTAAAATAAATCAGAAGGCTCTGAAAAACATTACTAGATATTTGAGAGATAAAATCTGACCTGCAATTTCACTGAAGATACAAATGTTGAAAGTCTTCCACATAACAACAAAGCAGAGAGTCACAAAACAAAACCTGATTTGAATTTTGCTTTCACTGCATCGTAAAGCTTCAGTCACTTAACTTTCAACATATCGGGCCCTTTTGCCACGGTTAGATGTCAACATGACTTTTGGGACATTTAAATGTCATTAATTATTTTCATTTTCACTTGATCTCTGCTTTGGGGATAGCTGTTTGCAGAATGCTCCAACTGTCTAGACAGCTGCAATTATGTGACCAAAACAAGATTTCTCAGCAACAATCCTAGTCGTGTTCTGCACCACAGGCTGCAACAACTAACTACTGAGGTCCAACTGATTTTCTCAGAATCACAAAGAAAGCAGACAAATGGGATGCAGGTACGTTGGAATAGCTGTTGTGATCCTATTAATATGACTCTGCATTGCACACTTGAAAGAACTGGGCACTAAATGTCCATCATCTTTGTTCAAAATCGTTTTAAATTTTGAAATAAAATAAAGCGATACAAATTGTGCTTGTCCCAAAATTAACATAGTCGGAACAATAGTTTTGTTTTTACCTTGATTTCATACAATATACTGTATTTTGACAACCATTGTGCAAAAAATTCAGAAATTTAAATACTGGTTACCTTTGGAACAGAAATATGTTGACTTTCTTTTTCAACACTACATTTTTTTTTAGTGCACCAAACACAAACAGTTCATGTTTGTGGTGATGTTCAATGTTTTATGTTATGAGTGCTTAGTGTATATTTAGTTGATGTTTTTCTTAGTTCATATCTTAGATGTTATTACTGTTTTTCTTATACATTTTATTGTTGGATGTAACTGGGACCCTGTGTACATAATTTCGCTCCACCACATGTACCACATGAGGTGCGAATGACAATAAAGAAACTCTGACTCTGACTCTGACTCTGAGAATGTATGCATTTTGCACCATTAAACTGTTCAGAGATGATAATCTTTCTTTAATTTGTGTGTCCAAATTATATATATATATATATATATATATTGCAACCATAGAAAAGTCAGAGACATAAGCAAAAATGTTATCTGGTTAAAAAAAAAACCTCTTTCCTAAAATTACAGAGTTGTTAGAAACCCTTGTTTTTATTTGTTGGCACAGCAAAAACTTCCTTTTAGGGATATTTTTGTTGTTGTTTTACAACTTCGCAGCTTTTAGGGGGGAAATATATTTTATGCTCTGCTTCATTGTTGATATTTCAAATTTAATCAATCAGTCTTTAGATCTCTAATTAGTCCAAAACAGTTTTTTTATTGATCTTTCTGCTCTGTATTTATAGTGAAGTTCTGTTAGAAATAAGTGCAGCAGAGTAGGTTTGAAGAAAAGTGGTTACATTTGTTCACTCAATAATCTAAAACAAAAAAAAAATTACAGTTTAATCTATTAACTTTTTTATAATACAACCTAATTTTGCGGTAAATTGAAGCTCTGCTGGAGTTTTATTAGAAGTGTTCATCTGTTTTACAACTTTTTTGATGCAACTTAAATCAGACTTTCTGTAAAGAGAGTAATAACTGTAAATAAAGAGTTGCAAAGTTAGTTTGCAACCAGTTAGTAGAAATTAGGCCTTGCATCTCAGAATGTGTACAGAACAATGTTAAGCACTTAAAATAATACGTGTACTTTCTTATAAGTTCATTGTCAGGTATGCTCAGGTAACAAAACACCTACTTTTAGAAAAAGTGTTGAAAATTGCTAATTCAATCTAAAACTGCTCAACTTGCTCTGGTTGTGAGCAAAAGATTCATATATTAGAAAAAATGAAAGGAAATGTAAGGACTGAGAAATTAATGAGTTTCTTTATTCTAATTAGCAATTTTAAGTTTAAAAACAAATGTTTTTGTTCGGTCTTTGTGGCTTGTAATCCATAAAGGATTTCTTATTTCAGGACAACAATAGCTATAATAATAAATAAATGTTTCATTTATAGTATGAACCAAACGATTAATATACTAATATTTCATTGTCAAACAATCAAATTAATTTTTGGGGTGAAAAGGAACCAACAGGTTAATAAAAGTAAATTAACAGTTGTATGAAACAGAAGCTTTGTAAAGAAAATAATTGTGTTTTAGGAACCTGACGCAATCCTTCCAACGTCATGAAAACAGAATTTCAGACTCATGCAGGTTAATAAAACTTGCACATGCAAAACTAAAAACTAGGGTTGCACAATGTTATTGATTTCTGTATCAGATGATATTAGCGTTAAAGTTAAATATCGGACATGGGGCATTCCATCAAAATAACACCGGTATAAAGGACGCTGTTTTTGTATGACAACGCAGTGACAAGGATGCCTGCAGCACCAGCACAACGTCATGACGTCACACACGCCTACCTGATCTGATCATAGTGGAGAGGAAGAAGTCAAAATGTCGGCGGTGTGACGTTTTTTGTTGTTGTTGATATCAGATTCCTAAGATTTTTGGACGACGTTGAGCCTCTCTACATCGTCCCTAGTCAGAGATATTTCTCTGACGTAGCCTTACTCGAGTTACAAGCACTTGGGCGAGTTTAACCACAGACATTTGGACGTCAAGTGTTAGTCCCGTTAGCATGATTAGTCTTACGGCACAATGGATAGACAAAAACTATGAGCTTAAAAAGGCTGTCCTTCATGCACAAGAGTGCACAGGATCTCACACTGCAGCTATAGGAACCTGGAATAAGCCTCCACAACTTAATGAGACAGCATCACAGGTGACTAATGCTTATAAATAATATTTAACATTTTATTTAATATAAGTTAAAGTGCTTTGCATATGGCTATTACTGAATATATGTCACCAGTTCTTACAGCTGTTACACAATTTTTGTAGTAAATAAAAAAGAGCCTAAATAAGAGGGCTATGTTCTGACAAAGGAAAGAATATAAAATATTGGTACTGGTTATTGGTTAAATAAGTTTTAACATATCAGCGGATATCGACCAAAAATCCAATATCGTGCATCCCTACCAAAAACTATTTATTTAAAAAGAATGTTCAGTCTTTTTAATTACTGCGAAACTGAATTAACACCTGCTAACTTTTGAAGATGTAAACCAATCAGCCATAACATTATGACCACTTTGTAAACATTAAGTAAGACCCACATTTAACATCAAAGCAACAAGTCATAGCATTAGATTAGCATTATATGTTTTATGTCCAGTTCTCTCGGTCCTATCAGAGTTCAGTTTAGAGCGTTTGAAAGTCTTTGTTGTGATGTTTGGCCCTGTTCAGCTCTTGCACTAACATCCTGAGAGATATGATAGCAATCAGATAATACTAAATTTAGATGTGAATACCCTCTAAACTGGACCTTTTCTATTCACAAATATTGCATAATCTTTTCTCAGACACCCTGAGCCTGTTGGACCTCCTAATGGACTGATGAGACCCAGAGAAGCAGCAGAGCTATAACCTGGATGTCTCGGGCAGAGGGTTAGTCCGTCATCTGTCGGCTGATTAAAACTAAAACAACCAGCCTGGAAATACTCTGAAGACACCATATTTTGTTTTAATTGTTGTTCTTTTGTGGCTACGTTTTAATGAACTGTTTATGAATCCTATGAAATGTTTGGATTGTATTCAACAGAGTGGACTGTAATATGCAGTGTGATGAGTTTCTCTTTACTTTGTTCATCACGGTAAAGATATATTGTGCTGTTTCAACAGCAAGACAGCAGTGCTGTTATGTTGCATTATATTCACCTAAATAAATATAGGGCTGATGTGAAATTCTAACGGTGTAGCACAGCAGTGTCACGATCCTCAGTGTCGGAACCCAAATGCAGAGAGGCGAGCGAGGCAGGAGTTCAAAAACAAAAACAATTTATTCTTTTTAACAACAAAACAAAAGGCTGTCGGTGCAGCAAAACTTACTTGGGCAGATAGGATCAGAAACCAGGCAGAGCAGATAATCAGGTGGACAAGAAACAAGACAGAAGAGGACTGAGATGTCTGTAAACACAGAACAATCACCGGACAAAAAGTGAAGGAGAGACAGGCTTTTTATGAGACAGAGGGAGAGTGAGTAACGAGAGCACCTGGGCAGGTGGCTGATGAGGGACAGGTGTGAATGATAAAGATTGAGTGGAGAGGCAGACTGAGGAGTGAGTGGAGAATAACAGAATCAGATAAACAGAAAATCACACACAGAGCAGAACAACAAAAATATAAAGAGCAGACAGAGACAGAACCTAGAAGTGGAAGGAAATGATTTAGTTTGTGGGATGATTGTTTGAAGATATAAATGTTGGTTCCTGGTTGCAGCTTGAAGGAGAAGGCAGAGGCTTAGGCAGATGGGGGGGCAGCGGGGGCCGCTGACCGTGACAGTTGGTTCCTGGTTGCAGCTTGAAGGAGAAAGCAGAGGCTTAGGCAGATGGGGGGGGCAGCGGGGGCCGCTGACCGTGACAAGCAGTGGGTTTTTACAGGTTAAAATGTACATTTTTGCTTGGACATTGAACCCTGTGAAGTAATTATTTCATACTTTTGTCACGTATGTTAAGTAGGAAGAGATATTGCTGCAAAACTATTACCCAAAATACTAAAAAGTGTCTTTATTACAAAGTAATCCTGTAGTTCAGGAGTCTGAATGTGTTGTAGTTTCTACAGAAGCATCAGCAAGCTACAGTGCAGTGACTGATAGTGAAACCTAATATAAATGGCAAGATATGAACAGGGCCTTTGAGTTTTCAGCAGGTTTTGTTTGCTGTTGGTAGTGGTTGGACTGACAGGATCATTTATTTCCAGCAGAACGAACACAATGAACTGTGTTACTTCACCTGTCCATCATCATAAACTTCTGATCAGTGTATGAACCCTGAGTACACACTGGTGCCACTTTTAATGTAATTTCTACCCATTTCACACCAATTTGTCTGTCGGAAGCATCTATGCGGCAGCATGTGATTTACACGTTTTAGCACAGATATTCTGACAGGTGCTGCCAGTCACAAGATGAATTTATTAGTTCTTGATTTTTTTTTTATATATTGAAATGTCAAATAATGAGTTATAAGTAATTTATTCTGCTCAACATGCGGTAACAAAGTAAAGAGTCACTGCAGGCAGTCATTTAAACTCACAAGATATGAAGAAAAACAGGCATTTGTCTGAAATTTTAATGTTATTCAACAAAAAGTCTTTTTTTTTTTTTTTTTTTGATTTGCTTCTCACCAGGTGAAAGTTTTCTCAGCTTGTCACATTTTATCAGTTTACTGCACAAGTAGTGTGCAGTTTCCAGTTTATTAGGCTTTTAAAGTCTCCTGCTGCAGCTAGAAATCAACGTTGCTTTGAAATGTATTTCTATTTGTACCAAATTATGCAAAAGAACAGATAATTTACAGTCTAATGTAATAGCCATGTCCAAATATGATACTTACAACTCAAGTATGACACATGTACAATCATGGCTATTTGTAATTTAAGAAAGACAACATGCAAACTCTTCCTTAAAAAAATTATTTGTAAATAGAGCAAATAAGGACTTTATAAATTCTGATTGGCATATGAGGAGCAAAGTTAATATAATGTTACTATTTTAAACAAATAAATACAACATTAACCCTGCTCTGTTGGGGCTAAATTTAACCTTTTATTTGTTTAAAGAAAATGTAATCTATAGTGCAACTGATAGGAAGATTAAACTAAAAAAAAAACACACATGAGTAAAATGCTTTAAAAAAAAATGTTCAAAGTTTACCACAAACTAATAAGTGGTGCGTTGATGTCCCCTGTCGCTGAAGGATTTGAAAAGTGAAAGTTGTATATTTGTGTATGCGTATTTAACAAGATGAGTGTTTTTTTCTGGACTGGAATTGAGCAGGTTTTGCAGGTAAATTTTCATGTTTGTGGTGCAAGATATGTAAGCGGTCAGGAGTTAAACTGTGTAAAAGAATAGAAGAAGATATTTTTTCCTTGTCTGAGGCGGCACTGAGTGACATATCTTGGCCAGGTAGCAATTTTATCCACCATTAGGTGCAATGGTGGAGCCAGAGGGTGGCCAGTGGTGGCATTGACCACCACAGATTAAGCTACGGCCATGCCAATGGCCACCCCAATCAAGAAACTATACTTTAAGCAATATATATATATATATATATATATATATATATATTAAATGAAAATAAAGGTTTAACAAATAAAAGCATAAAGATATTTGATAGTGTTTACAGCAAAGTGAATGAGATCTCTGATTAAAATAAACTATTTTAAAACATTACCTTGTGGTGAATTTTCTCCTCGTTTAGTGCTTTGAGAATCACAGAAATGAGGAGATTGAGAACCATGAACGACATGAAGATAATACAGGAACCAAAGAGTAAGCCACCAAGAACGGGTTCACTGTCCAAGACCTGGAAATAATAATGATAATAAACACAAAAAAATGGAATTAAGAAGAAGCTTTAATTGTTACATAAACACACAAATTAAAACCAAACACAGTCGTGCACAAATGTTTTAAACAATTCTCAGCTTTTGTTCTATTTATAAACCTATTTTTTAATTCCTGCTTCTTGGTATAAATGTATTAAA